TGGGTCGGGGGTGTGGGGGTCGGGGGGGGCGGGGGGGGGTGGGGGGGGGGGGGGGGAAGGGGGGGGGAGGAAGAGAGAAAAGCAGAATTCAAATATTTGCAAGCAACCTCAAGCCAGACGAAAGAGCCTTCCTGCAGTCTGGCCTCTCTCCCAAGTCTTCCCAGAAAGCAGCCCTGGGCGCACACCATTTATTTATCGCCTACCTTTTCTTCCTCTGGGCTTCAGACAGTGTGTCTCTCTCTCTCTTTCACACAAAAAAAGGCAGGCGGTAATCTGCTTCCAGGTCGTGAACAGTGTTGCTAAGTAACCATCAGGGAGGGATGGGCAATAAATGCTGGCCTGGTCATAGATGTGAGGTGGGAACAATAAAAGCACAAGTTGACTGACTGATTCATCCAGTTTTTTCTTCTTTTCCACCAACTCCCACCTCACTTCCTGTTACTCACAGAAAGGTGTGTATGCATGTAATACAGATAGCAATCACCTCTACGTTACAGCCAGAGAACTCCATTAAAACCACCACACACTCAAAGAACACCGAATAGAGAGTGCTGCTATAAACTCTCATTGTGCACCTTTTCTCCCGTCCAACTCCTCTTGAACACAGCCAGGAAGCAAAACCTCAGACCGCTGAAATCCCCTCCCACAGTTCTGGGTAAAATGCAAGCAAACAGAATCCACTGCAAGAATTAACAAGTTATATTCATCCCTACTTCAAAAAGATACTTCAAATCATCTGGTAGTTCAACTTTTTTGAATACAGAAAACAAGCTCAAACTGTGAATAGACTTCAATTAAATTATCTAGATAAGATTCAGACAGAGATTGGGAACAAGCCCTAGCAGTCATGCGATACAATCATGATTTAGATGACCATAAGTTTCAGCTCAATCTCCAATTAGTCTGAACTCAAGACATGAGGCGAGGAAACCCCATGTCTGACTAATGTCTCACCAGAAATATGTTGCCTCAAATGGTAATTCCTTAATCTGTTTTTCTGACATGTCAGCCTAAACTACCCGCCACAATTGGTATTTAAACCCACAACTTCTTCCTCAGAGGCATTTGTGTGGCGAGAAGCTTTGTGTCGCTGTGGGTTCAAAGTTTCTCTCCAAGCACACACTATCACAGTTCACACACCTCACATTGCTCCACCAGTGCATTGTAATCAGTGTTTCAGTGTCAGACACACCTTCTTCTCACCCATGAATCACAATTAGTGGGGAAAAAAGTACAAGAAGATCTTAGCCTCTGGGATGAAGAGAAACCACACAACTGTAAAATAGCTACACGGGATTTCCCTATTAAACAGCTGTTTGAAAGAATTTTAAAAGAAACAGCCACCTTCAGATTTCTGCAAAACTTTCAGAAAAAGAAGTGCAACAAGTGCAAGCAAAAGGAGATAGAGGCAACTTGACAGCTTATCCAATACCCTTCTTTTGGAAAAACATTTGAATCCAGACTGACTGGCAAAACATTGCGAGTCATTTTTTAAAAATTTGTCATGACTGCGAAATATTTTATAGCCAATCACTTTTGAAGCACAGAAGCTGTTGTGACATAAAAGCTCACAAGCTGACTTTCGCACAGCAAGCTCCCACAAATGGCAGGATGATCAGTGGCCACATGATAATCTCCCCTTTACAATATTGTCCAGCACACCAAGGAGTACCAGTTTCCTCCCACTGTTCAAAGATGTGCAGGTTAGGATGGATTGGCCGTGCTAAATCGCCCACAGTGTCCAAATATGTGCAGGCTAGGTGGATTAGCCAAGGGAAACGCAGGGTTACAGGGATGGGGTGGGGTGGGATGCTCTTCAGAGGCTCAGTATAGCATTGATGGGCAGAATGGCCTGCTTCCACACTGTAGGGATTCTGTAAGTCTCTTGCTCTTTTTGTAAAGAGTGCCACAGGTTACTTTACACCAATCTGTTAGAACAAATCAGCAGGGTAAGGGGGCGCAACAGCAACATGCCTAGTTTTCTTTTGTGTTCACTTATCAGGAACAAGGCTCAAAAACCACTCCCATCTTCTGCTTCACTGTGAGGCAACAGGTCAGCCACAACTGGCACTGTCCTCATTTGGATAGACAGCCTCAGTTTAGGTGATCCTCAATGCCTGTTTGGCTTAGGGGTTTGGGGTGGTGGTTAGCTGAATCAGAAATGTTACAGTGCAGGATGCCATTTGACCAATAATGCCAGCACCGGCTCATAAAATCTCCCAGAACACTAGACATTATTTGTATTCAATTAATCATTCAATACCCTCTTGAATGCCTCAATTGAACCTTCCTCCACCACATTTCTAGGCAGTGTGTTTCAGACCCTCACTGCTCACTGAGCGAAAAAGCTTTGCCTCATAGTGTCATAGAGATGTAATCAGACACTTGGGTCCAACTCGTCCATGCCAAACAGATATCCTAAATTAATCTAAACCCATTTGCCAACATTTGGTCCATATCCCTCTAAACCCTTCCTATTCGTATACACATCCAGATTTTTAAATATTGTAATTGTACCAGCCTCCAGCACTTTCTCTGGCAGCTCATTCCATACACACACTACCTTCTGCGAGAAAAAGTTGCCCCTTAGCTCCCTTTTAAATCTCACTTCACCCCTACTTCTTTTGCAAGTTACTTTAGATCTATGTCCTCTCATTCTCGCTCCTTCTGCATATAGGAACAAATTCTCCCTGTCTACTCCATCCAGCTCATTTTGAAAACATCTATCAGTTCTCCTCTCAGCCTTCTTGTCTCCATGGAGAACAGTCCCAACTTTTTCAATCTATTCTCATCACTTAAACCGCTTTTACACTCAGTCCAACGCAATGGAGCGTACTCCCAAACATTAATCAAGCACCTCTGAACTTTGTGGGGTCGGGAGGGGGGGGGAGGGGCAGGTGAAGAGAGAGGTGGGCAAATAGGCAAACATGTCATGCTCGAACGTGATGCCTTCCAAAGTCGAAGTGCCTCACCCATTTCCACATCCCTCCCCCTACCCATCCCAACTGTCAGCTCCTGGGAAACAGGGCATTTGGCCAAGTCTTCGCAGCAAAAACATCATGATCCTAAAGAATGGCAATTATGAGAAAATAAACCCCAACAAAGGATGGGGAAAAGGCACAAGAGTCCCACAAACATACACACACCTACTTCCATCCCTTCACTTCCCGTCTCCTCGCACATTTATGAGCCCTTTAATATTTCAGCCCGCCCCTGAGTCAGCTCCAGACTGAGAACACCAGCTCCTCCCTGCCCTAGGCCCGAGGGTTTAATATTCCACAGGTTCCAATCGCCATGGACACCACCCAGCCAGGCCATCGCTATGCGCACGCGCTTTACCGCCACTACCCAGAACTGAGTGGGTGCAGAGCATGCGTACAACAAAGCCCTGCCATCGTTCCCCATTCCCAGGACAGAGCATACACCAGAATAAAAACAGAAGTTGCTAGAAAAGCTCAGCAGGCCTGACAGCATCTATGAAGAAAAAAATCAGAGTTAACGTTTCGGGTCCGGTGACCTCTCCTCAGGCCTTTCGGTTTTTATTTTTTTATAGAGCATACACAGTACCATCACTGACGCGGCTCCCGGCATAGAGCATGCGTATAACACGCTTTGCCGTCGCGTCCGGCAGAGAGCATGCGTATAATGCGCTCTGCCTTCGTTACCCGCTGCCGGGATAAAGTATGCCCAGTACCAGCATGGCCGCTGCTCCCGGCGTGGAACATGCATATGATACGTCCTGCCGTCGTACACTGCCACTGGGATAGAGCATGCGCATAATCAGCAAGGCCGGTCGCTACCGTAATAGAGCATGCGTATAACACACCTTGACGCTGCTCCTGGCAAAAAGCATGCGTATTACCATCACCCGCCGGCGTTGCCGGGACCGAGCATGCGCAGTGCATGCCCCTCTGGGAAATGTAGTCTCAGCCGTGTTACTTCTGAGATAGCCGCCGCCTCGTGCTCCCACGAGGAGATCGAACAGTTCATCCACTTCACCAACACCTTCCACCTCAACCTTAAGTCCACCTGGACCATCTCTCTCTTCTTCCTGGACCTTTCCGTGTCCAGCTCCGGCAACCACCTAGAAACCGATATTCATTTCAAGCCCACCGACTCCCACAGCTACCTAGAATACTCCTCCTCCCACCCATCTTCCTGCAAAAATGCCATCCCCTATTCCCAATTCCTTCGCCTCTGCCGCATCTGCTCCCAGGATGAGGCATTCCACTCCCGTATATCTCAGATGTCCTCATTTTTCAAGGACCGCAACTTCACCACCTCAGTGGTCAACAACGCCCTTGACCGTGTCTCCCGCATTTCCTGCAACTCATCCCTCACACCCCGTCCCCGCAATAACAACCAAAACAGAATCCCCCTCGTCCTCACGTATCACCCCAACAACCTCCGGATCCAACGCATCATCCTCCGACACTTCCGCCATCTGCAATCCGACCCCACCACCAAAGACTTTTTTCCCTCCCCACCCTTCTCTGCTTTCCGGAGGGACCACTCTCTCCGGGACTCCCTTGTCCGCTCCACACTCCCCTCCAGCCCCACCTCACCCGGCACTTTTCCCTGCAACCGCAGGAAGTGCTACACCTGCCCCTACACCTCCTCCCTTACCCCCATCCCAGGCCCCAAGAAGACTTTCCACATCGAGCAGATGTTCAGCTGCACATCTGCTAATGTGGTATACTGCATCCGCTGTTCCCGTTGTTGCCTCCTCTACATCAGGGAAACCAAGCGGAGGCTTGGGGACCGCTTTGCAGAACACCTACGCTCGGTTCGCCCTAAACAACTGCACCTCCCAGTCACGAACCATTTCAACTCCCCCTCCCATTCCTCAGACAACATGTCCATCCTGGGCCTCCTGCAGTGCCGCAACGGTGCTACCCGAAGGTTGCAGGAACAGCAATTCATATTCCGCTTGGGAACCCTGCAGCCCAATGGTATCAATGTGGACTTCACAAGCTTCAAAATCTCCCCTCCCCCTACCGCATCCCAAAACCAGCCCAGCTCGTCCCCGCCTTGCTAACCTGTCCTTCCTCCCACCTATCCCCTCCTCCCACCTTAAGCCCCACCCCCATCTCCTACCTACTAACCTCATCCCGCCCCCTTGACCTATCCGTCCTCCCTAGACTTACCTATCTCCTCCCTACCTCCCCACCTACACTCACCTTTATTGGCTCCATCCCCGCCTCTTTGACCGGTCTGTCTCCTCTCCACCTATCTTCTCCTCTATCCATCTTCTATCCGCCTCCCCCTCTCTCCCTATTTATTTCAAAACCCCCTTCCCCTCCCCCATTTCTGAAGAAGGTTCTAGGCCCGAAACGTCAGCCTTCCTACTCCTCTGATGCCTCTGACTTGAGCCAAAAAACCCTCATTAATGGAACTGCGTTTCACCTGTGGAGGTGTGTCAGGAGAGTTACCGCCGCATAAAGGGTCCTTCGAGTTGAAATACTGACAAAAATCAAATCTTGGAAAATTACAGAACAAGAGATTATTTGGCCCATTATTCCTGTGACAGCCCTTTTAAAGATCAATTCAATCAACCACACTCTTCCAAGTAGCTTTATGTTTATATAGCTTTTTAGCTTTACAGTATTTCTTATTTTCCTAACTTATGCTTATACTGTGTTATCTGTGTCGTAGTATAACTTTTTTTTCTGTATTTTCTGTAGTTTTTGTACCTAAGGTTTGTACCATGGTAACACAAAGCTGAAGGAACAAAGCAGGTTTTGCTGTGTTCCTCCAGCTGCAGACTGTTATCTCTGACTCCAGCATCTGCAGTTCTTACCAACCCCATTTGTACCTAGATAGTAGGAACTGCAGATGCTGGAGAATCTGAGATAACAAGGTGTAGAGCTGGATGAACACAGCAGGCCAAGCAGCATCAGAGGAGCAGGAAGGTTAACATTTCGGGCCTAGACCCTTCTTCAGAAGGGTCTAGGCCCGAAACGTCAGCCTTCCTGCTCCTCTGATGCT